CACAAATATCCAATCCATCCGGAGCTAGCTCAGCTGAATAGAGTAAACAATGAACCATTATTTTGTCAGCACTATAGTAAAGACACGCAGTACCAACTGTACCCTGTTCACACATTTGGAGAACATGGAGAGTATTATGCATCCAAATATTCACTATTCTTTGAGCATGATGTTCTCCCTCATTTCCTGTCACCACTCCAGTGGCAAACAGCTAAACTCTGCAGAACAGAGATGTTTTGGGGTTTTAGCATCATTTTAGTGAAAGATACCAAGAAAAGAAAATAGATTTTTTGGAATCTCTGGACCTTAGGAGAAGAACCACAGAAATTGGATCTTTCTGTAAAAGTTACCAAAACTCATCAGATTGAGCTACTTTGTCTAGAAACAAAAGGAATGAGACACTTTATCTGATAACTTTCTTCCTTATAACTTACAGCCTTTTTTGTGCCACAGACCCGTTTATGTCCGACAGTATTTTCACAGACCGGCCTTTAAGGTGTCGTGGATAAATACAACAAAATAAAACCAGTACCGGTACCAAAAAAACAGGAGGTTTATTCATAACACACGGGAAAAGACCCAGGGAAACCGACTTAACGATAAACGACGATAAAAAAATAACAATAAAAACTGATAAAACCCCCGAAAACCATAAATTTCACACCTGAGCCTCAACTCTCGCGGCCCGGTACCAAACGACTCACCCGGGGGTTGGGCACCGCTGACTTACAGCACATAGTGTAGTCTGACCACTAGTTCAAGGAACTTTCCTCTTAGCCTTTCCTCTTTATTTCAATCTACCTTCAAAAAGGCACCCCCTCCTTAAAAATGATTAGCGTGTAAAACAGAACTTTTAATACTCACCACTGAAAAAATATCTCTCCATTAACACCTGAATGATACAACATCAAGAGCCAGAGGGATGCATTTTAAGGTTGCTATGTTCCACATCACAGCAGCACACCAATAGAGGACGGCTGGATGTTGTAAAAAGAGCAGTTCTGGCATTTGGCAGTACTTTATGTTCTTATTATCAGTGAAAGCTGACTGTAGCAAGTGAGCTGAAACAGGAAAAGCAAAACTGCATGCAATCCCCTGATGATTTTGTCCTGCAGGCTATTCTCACGGTTGCAAAAACTGTATATAAGGTGTAAACGTCACAATAAGATGCAAACAGAATGAGATGTTTGCCTTTTTGGTTAGCATTGTCAACTCACAGCAGGACTTCTTCTAATCCAAACCTCCTGGTTGACTGGAGCCTTTTTGTGTTGGGTTTGCATGTTCTCCCTGTGGGTTTCCTTTGGGAGATCACGCTGCCCCTCATAATGCAGAGTCATGCATGCTGGGTTAAGTGTTATAAATTGGCCATGTGAATGTTATTTGTCTCCAGCAGTGGATTTGGGATTTTGGGATCCTTGTTCTGTTGGAACATATAATTGTGTCCAACTTTCAACCATCTAGCTGTTGATTTAAGGTGAATTTGAAGAATGTCGTCATTATTTCATTCACCTTGTTCAATGCAGCATTAGCACTGGCTGCAAGAAAGCTCCAGAGCATGATTGATAGTTGGTACAGTTTCTTAGGTTTGAAAACCTTTACTACTGTGAACACAAGTAAAGAAGAGACATGCTATATAAAAACCAGCTCAACCATTCATTGTGACCAGCTAGCTTAATCTTTGTCTTGTCTGACCATAGCTTGTCCATGTGAGCCATTTGAGCTTGAAGGTGTTGATTTTCGAGTGGGTGCTTCTTTCTTAATCAGCCTCTTTGAGTGTTTGGCGATGTTTTACTGACAATGCTTCACTGTGGGCAGTGAGACTGGTGTTTCAGGAGTTCATATTTCATGGTGGTTCCTGTGTTGTTTCTGAGCATCCTAACCAATTTCCTGTCATCTGAAGGTGATGGTTCTTCCAGCATTTGTGTGTTGACGTATCAAGTGTTGACGTATCAGAATAACTTGTACTTATATCTATGTACAGTTGTGCTATGTTTCCCTGTTGAGCAGAGGATGGATGGTATTGGTTTGGGAAGTTTCTTTTTATTTTATCAGTACTTGCTGGTGTATGCATGTATATTGCCACTAAAACCTGATTTTACTGTCTTCATATTTTCTGTTTTAAAATCAGATCAAAATAAAATATATTGTAAGTTTTCATAAGCACATATTAAGTTTTAGTTTAGCGAAAAGAAACATTTAGCCTCCATTTGTCTTCACATTTAGAAGAAGATGGTGCATTCACTGCTCGTGCTGCTTGGCCTCTCTAGATTTATGTCAAAAGTCATGTTTCTACGAGCCTACACGAAGAGATTAATTTGAGCTGCTGGTGCTGGCCAGTATTGTTAACCAGCAAATTTTACATATTCTCCCATTATGCAAATTGTCAGGTTAGCTACACCCTAGAAAGACTTCTCTTTCAGATATTCACATCAACAAAAATGTAATCAGTCATCAAGTTCATTCCATTTTTCTGCCAGTGCAGGATTTCATATTGCAGTGCTCATCATTCATTTTATCAGATACAAAGCCAAAATTTGACACAAAGAATCTCCAGAGTCTTCTTGAGTTTTTGATGTTATTTGAGGTGGTGCCAGAAGCCTTGACTAGCAACCTTTCCAATTTGCACCCCACCTTTTCCCAAAGGTAAACTGGGATAACCTCCAGCCCCACCACAGTCAAGATCGGATAAGCGGTAAAAGGAAAAAAAGAGATGGTGCCAGGTTAAAACAGTCCTGTCTGCTGGATAAACTCGTCATGTTTCATCAGGTTAGATCCAGCACCCCTTAAGTTTTTTAACCATATGAACTCGGTGATATCAATTGTTAAAAACTAATGTTGCGTGACCAAGCATTGTTCAAACCCACAGATATTTGTTTTCAGTTAACATAACTCATTACAAAAAGACGTCAAACATCTCTGAGTTTGCGGGAAGACCTTATTTACAAAGTGATGGAGTAATGGTGCTGTGGCATTATGAAGAAGTGTGGCTTTATTTTCAAAGTTTAAAAAACTCCAGAGTTCAAGAGGTTGAGCAGGCATAAATGAAAGATACAAGAACGATTCTTTTTGTGCTTTTTCTGGAAGCAGAACATGATGTGTTGAAATTGGATTTATCACATTACAGCTGAAGAAAGAAGAATGAACTGTGCACTTGTGTGCCTTCAGGAAAAAAATAGCTCAGATGGGTGAAAAGAAATTAAGCGGCAGAAAAACTTCAGCAATGATATGAGGGGTTTGTTTGTTTGTTTTTTTAAAGAGTCTTAATAAGTTTGGGGATGAGTTTTGCCCCAGGAGGCTTATTGTGCAGCAAGAAACATCATATCCAACAAATGCTCATCAGGTTCCTCCCACTGGACATCAGCCTGAAGGTGGAGCCATGGAAACTTAACTCACACATGAAGATCAATCATTGTCTTCCTCTATTGTCTTTTTGCAACCTCTGTTCTTTTTTGAGTAGAAAACAAAATAGACTCCAACTTGAAGAGCTGTCGTATTTGCTGTTTTCCAATTTCAGAGTTTGGTGGCTTCCTGTGGTAGAGGAGGAGGAAGAAGGAAGAGCTTTAAAAAGTGCCTGTGTGCATCTGCCAAGGCCAAATTCTCTAGAAGCACAACAACACATCCTCTCTTCGGTTCCTCCGTCTCCTCAAGCACACACAGGTGCAGAGCAATGCTGCATTAAGGAGTGTGTAATGGTGATAATGTCTGTTAATGGTTTAATAATTTGAGGCTGTGGTAATGACAATAATGATGCACCAGGAATAGTCGCGTCCCAAAATAGAGCAGGGGATGGGTGCCATTAAACAGACTCCACAGAAAGGTCCTTTGTTTTGTGTGTGTGTGTGTGTGTGTGTGTGTGTGTGTGTGTGTGTGTGTGTGTGTGTGTGTGTGTGATGTGAAGGATTCACACATGCAGAGGGTAAGTGTGCAAGCATGCATTTGTTACAAAGAGAAATGATTTTATTGTTATTGTATGTTTTGAATTGTTAAACTCTAAGATTGCTAAAAAATGAAAGCACACAGTGTGTTTGTGTTTGTTTGATAATGCATGTGTTGCACCTTTTGAATACCTAAACAGCACTTAGTCATCAAAGTAACAACAATGCATGCAATAAAAACAAGTGTTAAGTTCACACCTGCAGGTCAGAGTAACAGCAAAAGGCAGGTGTGAAACCCTCTGATCCTGCAGCCTGTAAAGATGTTTCCATATTAGAGTCATGCATGCAGTCATATCATAAACATAGGATACATTTTTATAACAGCATATGTGTCACTGTTGCAACTGCCCACCCTCAATAGCCGAGTTCAGTTACAACGCTAACTTCCTCCATTTGAATAAATCATGTGAATATTTTCATTTCGTGTGTAATCATCTTTCAGTCATGTGGGCAGTAAGATAAATAATACGTTCTTTATTTGACCCATTTTGGGGGAAATGATCATATTACAGCAGTTAAAATAATGATAAAAGATTTCACGGGGGCAGCTGTGGCGAAAGGTTGGTGGTTAAGTCCCTGGTTCCTCTAGCCTGCATGTGGAAGAAAGGCAAGTTTCCCCTGATACAACCATTGGAGTGTGAGTGTGTGGATGAATGTTATCTTTAAAAAAATATATATCAGTGTGTTTGTGAATGGATGAATGAGGCTTCCCATAGGTGGTCCAGGTGAATCAGTGTTTTAATAACTGAGATATATTTGGTGCAACCCACCTCAGTTTTCCCCTGGAGATGGAGTCGATGATTCTGAAGAGGCTCATCAGTGGAGAACGGCTGAAGGCAAAAAAGATTCCCATAAAACAAGCAAACAGCAAAGGAAAGGTCATATATTACACATTTATTATTTTGCGGGAACAATCCGATAAGCTTTTCATCTGCAGTATTGAAAAGATGTATTTCTAAAGTCTTCCTGCATTCATCCTGACAACACAATGGAAAGGATGCCTGTGTCTGATTGGCTGCTTTCGCAACCTCCCGGCTTGGGTATTTAACCCCCTCGACTTGTCGGGAGGCTGCTCAGAGCGCAGGCGGAGCAGGGAGGGGAGGTTTTACGCACAGCTAAGCACGGTGTGAACTCTGAACGCCAGGAACTCACACAAACAGCTTCGGGCCAATCAGAGGAATATTGATCTAAAACGTTGAGTTTGAGCACATCATAACAGCGCGGTCCGGTAAGTCGAGTGAAGCTGGTATTAATTTAATAATTAACATTTGATTCAATTTAAATATGGAGAGGCAACAACAAATGTATGTTATGTTATACTAGACTCCAATCTATCTATCTATCTATCTATCTATCTATCTATCTATCTATCTATCTATCTATCTATCTATCTGCAGTTTTTTGTATTTATTAACTGCTCTTGTGCGTCTGCTACTGCATTCTCCGGGCTTTTTGAAGTTTGCACTTTGCATGCCAAATATGTTTTGTTGCCATGTCATAGAGTTTTATATTTACTGCTTTGAACCCCATTTAGTCCTTTGTGCCGGAATTGGTGAATGCTTTAACCTACTTTCAGCCTGTTTTCTGATGCTCCTGCATGATCGTGTAGTTTTCGGACAGCTGCAGAGCTGAAAACGAGCGGCTTGTGCGCCGCATCACCAGCTGATCTCAGGCTGCGACCTTTGTCGCTTCCAGAACCTGCAAGCGCGCAGTCTTTGTCTTTAAAATGTGTGGCATGAATGCATCACAACACCATCAAAAGAGTAAAGCTTTGAAGAGCTTTTCCTTCTTGCTAGATAGGATTTATCGGATCTTTTCACCCTGGAGATCCTGCAGGGGACTGTCGGAGAAACATTTAACACTTTAATAGTGATTTTTTTTTTAAAGGAGGCTGTTTAACTATTACCTAAATTCAGGTTCGGTGGATTTGGAAACATTTGGAAGCATTTGTTTTTATCCCCTCACAGCCATGTAAAACGGCACTGTGATGATGTGCACATGATTTTAGACATTGCGCTTCTAAACAGCAGTGACAACGTGACGATGTTCAACAAATATTCCAATAAACTTTACTTATGCGGGATTTGTTTGCTCGGATATACAAGCTCCCAAGCTTTTTGTCTAAAAATACAGTTTTCAGGTTTATGCGCACTGTGTTCTCACTTTTTAAAAAAATGCATAACTTTCAGCGGCTGTATTCTGCCGCAGGGAATCATTTCAGTCATAAAGGCATGCGAAGCTTTATCTGATTGTTGCACTTTTATTGCCAACTAATTATCTAGCCAGCGCTATAAAATTAATGATAAAATGAAGCCACCTCCTTTCCACAGCTTGGGATGAAAACCACATGTTGCTTTCAACAGTCACATTTATTGTGTGCTGCTCGGATAATTCAGAATGTGATGATCCAAGAAAATTAAGACAGTTTGATGTCATTTCCTCACATCATGGACATCCTGGAAATTTATGCTGAGGATAAATGCTTCCTAAAATCTTCCTGCCATCTCTTACTTTGAGGTCACTCTCATGACTTCTGCCCTCTCCTTCATTGTAGCTCAGATACCCCCCTCCTTCATTCTGGCTCTCCCTTTCCTGTGCATTCCTCCCTATTTTATTGTCCTTCCAAATTGTACGGTAGATCAAGTTGTCAGTTTTCTCCTGTCCTGGCCTCTTGTGTCTTCCTGCATTTCATTGTTTTTAAAAACACAGTTTTCAACACTTCTCTGCGCTCCCACCTTCAGCCCCCACGCACAGGCATACACTATCTGACCACCGCAATATCCCTTCCACTGCTGCTCAGCTGGTTGCCAACGTTCCCCCTCCCTCTCTCTCAACCTCTTCAGATGTGGAGCCAGCAGAGCTAAAGGTTGGAGATGGTCTCTAAAGCCAAATCTATTAGATTAAGAGGATCGGGCCAGTTAAAACTCAGGTTTCTAATTAAATCAGACAATTCTGCTCTAACATAGCCTAATGAGCTGCCATGTTACACAACACAAAGGCATCATTCACATGACCGAGACATACGTTTGGACGATGGCCAGATTTTTCAAAACTGATTTCTTGTGATATGTGTGTGAGTTGACCCATGTGATTTTCTGTCTTTGTGTGTGAGAACAGAACCAACTAGTGTTTTTCAGTCAAATGCATTTATGAATAGCAGTTGTCTTTGAGCGAGTGTGTGTGTGTGTGTGTGCATGCGCTCAAGCGTATGTTGCTTCTTTTAGTGCAACTGCATTAAATTTTGCAAATGCAAGTGTATTCTGACATGACTATTTAAAAGTAACCCCGTGTGTCCGCAAATTGTTGCCTTTCCAAACCATCATGTCAAAGAGGTTTGCTCATCTGCGCCAAGATGAAGATTGTACCCATGTGTGTGTGAGTGTGTCTGTGTGGTGTGTGAGCGTGTGTGTACGTCTTCACCCCGATAGCATGTCTCTATAGACGCGGTTGTATTCGTCAATCAGCCCATTTATCCCTCCATGCTCCAGGCCATTCTGAGGGTGTGTGTGTGTGGTGGGGGGGCATGATACTCTAGAGGGCTCATAGCCAAGTTAGAGTCCTCTATGAGTGAAAGAAAGAATCAATGTTAGAGCGCACGGGACACACAAACACTGTTTTCATCAATATTTCATCCCTCCTGCTCCCTTTGATCACCAGCCTTTATTTTACAGCTTCTTTTTCATCGCACAAAAACGCTGCTTTGATGATGTGTTTAATATACGTGCACATGTACTCAGTTAAATATATTGTGACGCCTGTTGATTCAAGAGCAAATTGCTTACTCAGGATTGTGCTTGAAATGTTTGCTTTGTTTTATAATTACTGGATCGAGCGACAATAGGCTGGCTCAATGGTGTGGGGATGATTTTGCTCTTAGTTGATCCATGAACATACTGCAGGGGTCGCTGAGATTGTTAAACGGGTTTCTTTTTTTTAATTTCTTCAAAAAAAGAATTTTCACCATAAACCAAAGCACAGGAGAAATTTAAATTTGCACCTGGTGATGTTGGTCATGCTCAGAGGGGCATTATTATATGTAATAAACTTTTTAATAATCCATTCAGTAGTTATTTTTATAATTATTTGGTACAGAACTGTAAATGTGAACCCCAAATTGAAAAATCACAGGATCAGCAACAAGTACATATTTTATAGGGTAAACAAAAACACAGACGTGCTTTTGGCGTTCTAGATGAATCAAAAGTCATCCTCTTCAAACCATAAATATCTTTTTATGCGCCCTGAGAATCTAACATTTGTTAGAAATACTTTAGGCCAAAGCGGTGAACTCACCATCGTTGCTGGTTTTCACCTCAGCATGCATTCTGGAAGGCTTGTCTTCATTTCACACATGCAGCAAGTTTTCTGTTTTGATGGTTGAACTATTTTCTCTGCAGGACAACTTGGACTCAGACGTTGCCAGCTGTGGAGCAAGGCCCAGTGGGTGGATGCGTGTGTGTGCCTTAAGTGTTTGTTTTCTTACTTCTTTGCACCTTTGGGTGAGGCTTCTGTGAAGATGAGGGCCATCACACTGCTGTGTCTTCTGATGGTTGCGGAGGCTGCAGCCTCCAGGTTCGTCCGTGACTCCCAAAGTGGGCTTGAAGCTTTAGAACCCGGCAACAACAACGCATCAGTTGTTCTTCCACCCTCGCAGCCGGGCCGACCACGGAGCTCGCACCCCCCCATGTGCATAAACCCCACGGAGATCAAGCAAGCCTTCAAATATGTGAACACCATCATATCCTGCCTGATCTTTGTCGTGGGAATCATTGGCAACTCAACACTGCTCAGGATCATATATAAGAACAAATGTATGAGGAATGGACCCAATGTACTCATTGGCAGCTTGGCACTGGGAGACCTGTTATATATTGTCATCGCCATCCCCATCAATGTGTACAAGGTAACCAGATTTATACTATGTGTCTTTATGATTCTTTTCATAGTTTAACATCGACTGTACATAAAAGATGGACATAGCTACATTACCCACTGGTTGCTGGATTACCCCTCTGCCAGCTATGAGTCTGTTTGTCTGTTGTTTTTTGTGGCTTCATTTTGGAGTTTGTCACTTTAATGTGATCTCTGTCTCTCAGGTCTCTAATTCAGAAACTGTTTGCTGTGTTAAAATCACACAGTTATATCTTTGAATAAAATTCAATTCACTGTTAATACAAGTGAAAGTTTCGCATGACAAAGTCTTCATTAAATAATTTAGCCGACTTACACAATATGTAGAAACTTAATATTGATTCAGTTTATTACCAAAGCTGAGGATGCATCTAGTATTTTACTTTAGTATTACTTCAAGCTAAAGCAGTTTACATTGCCTAAAATGTAAACCTGATAATTGTAATTTTTTCTGCCGGAGGTTTCTTCCTGTTAAAAGGGAGTTTTTCCTTCCCACTGTCGCCAAAGTGCTTGCTCATAGGGGGTCATATGATTGTTGGGTTTTTCTCTGTATCTATGAAGCGCCTTGAGGCAACTTTTGTTGTGATTTGGCGCTATATAAATAAAATTGAATTGAATAAATAAATCAGGTTTATTTATTGCTTTGTAAGATTTGATGTTGCAGACTTGTCTACCTAAAACTTCAAGGGATTGTCAAACCCATAAAAAGGCAGATGTAAAGTGTTATGCTAGGATTTTCATAGAAAGGACTTTATTCACTTGCACTATCCAATGGTCAGAGATTTTAGTGCAGCCAGACAATCCCAGCCTGCAAGAGCTTATTAAACCAAAAAAAATATTCGAAACTCTTTTGCGGGAGTATTAAGATGCATTTCAACTTTTTGATTTAATGAAGAAACATTTAGAGTGCGAAGGCTTTACAACCTCTGATAGATTAGCGAACAGTACAGATTGCTGTGAGCAGCTGAAAAATATAAAGTCCCTTCTGATATTCAGATGTGTGGCCATAATTTGTTGTTACACATGCTGTCCTGACCCTGAGCAGAACTTATTGCCCCTGGGAGATGGACTTGGCAGTCACGAGGAACATGCTGTTGTTGCTTTTGGCATTAGAAGCTGTATTAATGAAAGAAGACACGAGGAAAGAAGGACCCCTAAATGGACCTCAAAGAGGTCTGCCCGCATGTTTACACAGGTGAACTTCTTACATTTACAAAACTCTCTCCTCTCCGTCTCTTTTTCCTGCAGCTGTTAGCCGAGGACTGGCCATTTGGCGTGTACGTCTGTAAGCTGATGCCGTTCATCCAGAAAGCGTCGGTGGGAATCACCGTCCTCAGCTTGTGCGCACTCAGTATTGACCGGTGAGTACACCACTACTCCACACACATACATAGACACTGACAAGTGTTAGTATTAAAAGCAGCTAATGGATGTCTCTGTTTATAGCTACCATGCAGTGACATCATGGAGCAGGGTGAAAGGGATGGGAATCCCACTGTGGAAAGCTGTGGAGGTGACACTGATCTGGCTGCTTGCTGTGGTGCTGGCAGTTCCCGAGGCGCTCGCATTCGACATGTTGGAGATACCATACAGAGGCACCAAGCTGAGGGTTTGCCTGTTGCATCCAGAACAGACCACAAGCTTTATGAAGGTAACCACCAGATTGTCACAGTCAAGTCAAAATTTACAGCATCACAATGTAGAGGTCACCAGTATGAGGTGGAAAAACTGCACAAGTACTTTTTATATAAATGTATTAAGGTCATAAGATGTTAGTTGTTGCAAAAAGGTGTCCTTTGCTACCTTCGGTTTCCCAATTTCCATCACTGTGCACAGAATTTAACAAGATATTGTTAAACTCTTCTACAGTAAATACAGAACTACATTTTGGCCTATACTCTTATTTCTGCAACATGATCACGTTGTCCACCATGTTAATTTGGGCTGTCAGCTTGATAGCATTCTCTAAAAATCACTTAAACACTGGGCTAACAACTGGCAATGATGACATTTTCATTAAAATGCAAGACACTTAACACAATAAATAACATACAAGCTCTTCCTCCCCTCACCCCCAGCCAGTAACTGCAGATGGCTCCCTGAGCCTGGTTCTACTGGAGGTTTCTTCCTGTTAACGGGAGTTTTTTCACCCCACTGTCACCAAGTGCTTTGCTCATAGGAGGTCATGTGATTGTTGGATAGTTTTCTCTGTATTATTGTAGGATCTTTATCTTACAATATAAGGAGCCTTGAGACAACTATTGTTGCGATTTGGTGCTATATAAATAAAATTAAATAAAATGAATTAAATTAAAGGTGACTAGTGTTTTGCTATAAACAGAATAAATTTGAGATATGCTAAACTAAGGGTGTCATAACATTATAATTTACACCATCAGTTTGCAAAACAGATGATAAACAGCCTGAGAAATACGAAGTGTAGAAACAACAACATGTCTCAGGCATTTTGCCTTCAGTACGGAAAAACTAAACTGTTGTAAATCGAAGAAATGCATCAGCACAGCTCCATGTGTTGATCACAGAACATGCTTTTGCCCGGGGAAGTCGTGTGTAATATTTGTTGGCAAGAATGTGGTAAGAGTTAGATTCCAGGCTGAACCTAATTTATAGCAGAAAGAGCTTAAAATGATGTAGGTACCTTCTTGAAACGTTGTGGATGTACCTCACAGAACTCCTGTTCGCTTATTAAAGCCTCCCGTAGGCTACATTAACTTGCAGCTGCACATTATTCCCACTTACATCAGTGGTCTACACCAAAAGTGGAAAAAAATCCACTGTCCTGTTTTGTAATTTTTTAAAGAAAGCGATCGGGATCTGCGCTAAACTAAAATAGTTTCTTCTTTCCACCATGTCCTTTGTCCTTTTGCACTTTCATAAAATCGAGTTTGTTAGTCTTTGAATAATCCTGCCAACAATTACAGACAGGGTGGCAGTTTAAAGAAGAAGAACAACACACAATATCTAAGTTAGGCGATGGGCCACCATGTGCTTCTAGAACAGTTTCAGTGTGCCTCGTCATTGGTGATTCACATAATTATAAACTCATCAAATCACACGACGACCTCTCTGCAGATAGGTGAAACTGCTGCAGCTGATCAGAGAGGAAGCGACCTCTCCCGTCAGGACTAAAATGTTTGATGCTGCCGGGTCAAAGGTTCAGATTTTTCCTTTAATTTGTCTGCCGTCTGAACCTCCGCCTTAGCTGAGAAAATATGAAAACCAGCAACATGGAAAAACTCCAAACAGCTGGATACTTACATCTTTCTGAGATATATGATCGAAACAACTTCAGTTTGGCAGAGAGGAGTTATGTATCAATTCAAAATGTTTGATAGGGATTATTAAACTTTCCCACAAACACATGGTCAAAGTTATCCAGCATGTTGATTTGGATCTGTTAGGATTGGGCTGAGGGGGAATAAACCCCTTGGATTCTATTCAGCTTGCACCTGATGTTACTTTCGAGTGCAAATGTCAACAGAATGGTTCTCTTCAAAGTAAAGCGCCTGGACAGCAATGATACAATTAGAGTGTTTCTTTAATCAGGTTCCTTTTATCACTCTGCCAGTAAGTTATTAGTGACAGCAAAGAAATGCAATACAACACACTGCAGGCAAAACATGTCAAATTACTTTTTCACAGTTCATTGATAAAGCCACGCAGCAGGATCAAAATCACAAAGATATTTTGATTCTTTTAAATCTGAAGGAAGGAACCACACAGTTCAGTGGAAACAAAGCAGGAAGCTGGCTTTTAATGTGTCATCAGGATTCGAATTATCTTATAAACCTACAATGTCAGCTTTGATCAATAGTCAGATTTAAGCTGATTATTGCTATGAATCAAGGTACTGTTTATTAGTCATAAGCCACTCCTCATTTCTTTACAATCTCCAGGAAACCAGAGTTTCTGTTATTTTTTTTAAGTCCTCCAGGCTTTCTGAAGGTCTTTCAAAGTTTTTATTTAGTTTGGACATCGCCTGCATCATCACACATTTTTAGTCCGGTCCTTGTGCCTAAACATTTTTAGAGGATCTTTGTTTCCCTTTGTTTTTTCATTTGTTAAACTGCTTAACATTAATCTATGAGGGATGAGTAAATGTTGTCTACACATAACAGTCAACTTGGCAAAAAAAAAAGTTTAAATTGTATCGTTAGGCACCTTTTTAAATGCAGCCTGTCATAAAAACCACATTATTTGTTCTCATTTCTTGAGCTGAATTAAAAAAGAAAAAAACAGAAAAACACAGCAAAGTTTTTGAAGCCAAATAATGTTTGCATTAAAATAATATTCTGCACCATCAAGGTGTTTCCCAAAAACATGTTTTGGTGCAAAAGAAGTGGCTGGCCTAAAAAAAAGATGTATCCAATTATCTATGTCAGAAGAATCGTATCTGAAAATTATGTCCTTAAGAAATAAGAAAGTCATCATCAGCATGTATGTAAAAGTTCAGTGTCTGCAGCATCTGTAAAACACCGTGGAGGCTCTGTCATGTTTTGGCTTTCAAGGTTGCTGCAATTTTACAAACTCGTATTTTTCCTTGTATGCTGTATTTCCATGTATGTTTTCACCTATTTCCACTTTTCCTAGGAAAATTTAAAAAAAAAAAACAGAGGGGTGGCTCAAGACTTTTTCACAGTACTGTAAAATATAATACACACAATTTTATGTTGGTTTAACAAAGTAAATATTCAAGCTGAAATATCAGCAACAATATCAACATTATCCATATAAGCAAAGATTAGCAAAGATGCAGCTAATCCACCAAAGACATACAACAGGCCAGGAAAACAGTGATTATGTTGATGACGCAGAGTTCTGGGAAACTTGTGGATCAAATGAGATACAAATGGATTTATGTACTTAGACCAAAGTTGCACTGTACCTGCCTTTTACAGGTTTAACATGACATTATCTTGAAAAATAGATATGTATTTTTTCCAGTACCCTTGTTTTGTTTTTTTCCCAGTTCTACAAGGAAGCAAAGGACTGGTGGCTGTTTGGCTTCTATTTCTGTTTCCCTCTGGTCTGCACGGGAATCTTCTACACTCTCATGTCCTGTGAGATGCTCAGCCGCAAAAAAGGCATGCGCATCGCACTCAATGACCACATGAAGCAGGTAGAGATGCAGATGACAGCCATGCTGGGAACCATTACACTGATTAGCTTATGCAATGGCGATGTCTGCTATAATTTACAAGAATCACTTCTTCTCAGAGAGTACTGGTCACTCAAACTAATGACTAAATTCACTGGCACAGTGGATCTTTATATTAGTTTGTGAAATACAGCTAACCAATGACAGCAAAAACTTTCTTTCTGTACACCACACATTACAGTAACCTGTGAATTGTGATTAGATCAAGAGCTGGGTATGGTCACCTTACTGTTCCTCTGATTTCTTTGTGTGTGTGTGTGCTGCAGAGGAGGGAAGTAGCAAAGACAGTGTTCTGCTTGGTGTTGATTTTTGCTTTCTGCTGGCTGCCCCTTCATCTCAGCCGTATTCTGAAGAAAACAATCTATGAGGAGGATGACCCCGACCGCTGTGAGCTGCTCAGGTAGGCACGTAGATAGCCAGTGCGATTGTTCTCCATTCTGAACCTTCCTGTAATCTTGCATGTAAACCTTGGCTTTTTTATCTGTCAGTTTCCTGTTAGTGATGGATTACATTGGAATCAACATGGCCTCCATAAACTCCTGCATTAACCCGATTGCCCTCTACTTTGTCAGCCAAAAGTTTAAAAACTGTTTCCAGGTATGCAATAAAATTACAAATGTGGTTTTACAAGAAAACCTATTTGTCAAAAGTCTAAACCTTATATATTTTTTTGCTGTTTCGTAGTCTTGCCTGTGTTGCTGGTGTTACAGAACATCTCATCTGGATGACCAAGGACGCTGGAAGGGCTCATGCCACGGTAACGGACTAGACCGCTCCAGCTCCCGTTCCAGTCAGAAATACACAAGCTCTTCATAAATGCAAACACACAGACACACTAATTGCACACCTCCTCCTGTACACACCAGTGCTCCCATCAGGGACAAACAGCAGTCTCAGTGCCGACAAACTGGCCTTCAGATCAGAGTCAGAAGGGGAACCTGGAGTCACTTCTACAGGACTCGCCGCAGACTGAAAGACTCAAAGATCAACCCCAAAATGCTGATGAAATAATGGAAGTGTGCCTCCTCAGGCTGTAATAGTAAATGCAAAAGCTTTGATGAAACCGATGCTACATAAACACGTTCATATTCCTACGCTGAGGCCTCTCTAGAGGACAACTCGGTGACACTAAAAATGCATTTATACAGAATGTTTATTCAAACCACTATGTAAATGTATGTACAGTATTATTTACATATAGAGTGCAAACTTACCATCATATTTAGCCTTAGTACTTTGTGTAGCTATGAATAAGCACTGAAAAACACTACCTGTTGAAGCTTTATTACCTCACGGGGAAAGCTAGAGGGAAACTGTGACCCTTAGTAATTTTACAATGTAGCTTCTATTTTTCTAAGAAAACAACACAAAGCACACGGAGAGCTTGTGTTACCTAAAGACGTGAGGTGTCCACGTGTTATTATTGCCAAATATTTCACCTCTATCGGAGAGCAGTAATGTTTCTGTGGCTGGAAATTAGTCTGAAAATGCTTTGTGAGAGCTGTTTAAGTAATACATTTCTGAGCCATGTAAAAGCTTTTGGGAAGGAAAAAGAAATTTGCTGGTTAAGCTGTATGTAAGTGAATGATTTAAAAACTCACATAACAAGGGAAGGTTAAAAAGTTCCACAACACAGCCCATAAAAAGCTGAGGTCAGACATGACTTAAATGAGGCATCATGGACCTGTAACTTGTGCAGAGAGCAACCATCGACTTTTGTTTCAAACAGACTCAGCTTTTATGTTGAGGATCGTTACTAGGAATGACAGCTGGGTGCTCAGACCCAGAGACCAAACGGGAAATTGCAGTGGAAGAGCTTGCAGCTTTGAACGAGGAGTGTGACCAGGAGCACACATATTCTTCTTATTATCATTATTATCTATTTTTTAAACAGTAAATTAGTCTCCCAGGGTCAGACAGTCGAAGCAGGGCTGGGCTGTAATGTCCTGAGTAGGGTTTTCGCAATACTAGAATTCCGACACTCAGGAAAATACTCAATACCTGATGCTATTTCTAACACCGCAGATGAAAAAATGACAAAATAGGCATACTTCTTTTAAAATATTAGAACAATGCTGGTTCATGCAAAGGATTGAACCACAGCCCTGTTCATTTTCTGTGCTTCTGTTGACTTAGTCCCACGTTTTTGTTGCTGAACAGAGTTGAAGAGGTAGGCTGCCAGTGAGAAATGAAACAGTTTTTTTTACAAAAACAACTGTGCCTTCGTGTTAAATTAACAGTCCATTAACTTTACAGACAGGCAGGACTGATAAAATCTGCTGCCTAGCTCCAAAATTACCGTTAATATTTCATTATTAGCCATAGCTGCTAGCTTAATGATAACAGACAACTAACATGGGTTAGCTGCTAACAGTTAAATGGCTAATGCTAACATTTATGCCAGTCAGATTAATGTTTGTGTTAACTAAGTAATACTTAATGTGTTTGAAACAGGAGTTTTACTGACCTCTCAAACTTCCTCAGAAAGACAGGATATAAATTAAGATGCTTTGCGAGTCTGTTGATGCGTTCAGCTGCTAGTGTGGGGAGGGGCCGTGCTGCATGAACTTGTCTGTCTAGACTTCTGTGGTGAGTCTTTGTAGAGCCTGCAAAGTCACCTGTGTAACTGACCAATGTCATTGCCAGCATTTGTGTACGTGCAAGTGCATTACATGTTAATTACCCCGTGGCTGTGTCTCTGTTTGTATGCCAGCCAACAGAAACAAACAAAACGCTTTTTGAAGAAAAATCTAATCTAATCTAACATCATCTCACAATGAGAAGGATAAAGGTAGCTGAAAGTAAAGTGAATACAAGCACTTAATAATCACATATAAATCTAATATAAAAACTCCCCATCAGAAGGAACACATTTATTCTGTATTCACAACATTGTCACTTGGGGAGAAAAAATTGCATGTTACAGTTCATTTTAAGAAAATGGGACAGTGCCAATATTAATAACACTCAGTCCAGTGATAAAGAAAAGCCTAGGATGAACCCATTTTATGTAGCCTAATTTCAGTACAGTGTTTCTAAGATGTGGTTAGAAACGCTTTCACTGTTCTCAGTAATCGTGAAATGTGCGTATTCTGAGAATCCAGACAACGTGTTTGCCGTCATTTGGAAGACTGAAATAGAGCACACTGAAATATGTTTATCATTTTAACGCCTGGACACAACATCAATCAAGTCAGCTGATCATGCAGTATGTGACTCATTAAAATCTATTTCTTGCCATTTTGAGCCTGCTTTTAGCTGCATCTAAGTGATTGTACAACTTTGTAAGTTTCCTTTGTAAGTGGGACCAACAAGCTGAGACACGTCGGTAATTTGACCTGGACGATCAAGTTAAATGTTTATATCCCCTTATGTCTGAAATCACATTTATATTAGTATGCAGTAATAAATATCATTTTATAGCACTTGTGTTGTTTGAGGGTTTTTGTTTGAGTCATTGCAGGTCAGTAGAGATGCCGTCAAAAATTGACACAATACAACATGTTACATAAAGTAGAAAACGGTGAACAAAACAACCCGTCTTCTCTGTCAATAACAGCTTGTAGAAGCTTAAATGTGATTTTATAAACATAATGCTTTCTTTTTCTTAGAAGAAGCTGCATTTGGTTTGCATTTGATATCACAGATCATAAAATGGCAACTTGTGAAACGTCTTGACTTTACTGCTGACAAATAGAGAAACTGATTCCAAGAAGCGGGTCTTGTGGTGATTTACTGTAGACAGAATGTGAGAAAAAGATCTTTAACAACTGTTCACATTACAGATCTCTTTAATCTCACAAAACTGGCTGTTGTCACAAAACAACATAGCTGAGTCCTGAGGTCAAACGGAGACGGCGCTGCACTGGATTCCTGGAACAACTTAATTAAAGAATTTAAGCATAAAATCCTCTATTGGCATGTTTACAAGGACTTCAAGGCAAATATTTAAAGATTAGAAAAATAATATTCACTTTATAGGACTTTCTGAGCTCCTACGCCAGACACTTTGGAGAGTTCCAATATGTTTTACATAAACATGGTTTGGGCTAGAACTTCATCCTGCTTCTATTCAATTCTAAACTTCATGACGCTGACAAAACCACATCAACACTCAAAATTATTGTTTGTTAAGAGAATTATATATTCATAGCAATGCTTCAGTGTCCCAGTGCTGCTGTCAACAACCACATGTCCAAGTAAACAGTATTTAAAGTTTGTGACCATGTTTCATGTGGTTCTCTGTCATTATATAAGTTTCGTGGTGTATTTTGCATTTGTGCATGACTGGCACATTAAACTGGGATTTCGAATTAAATCATTTTGAAAACCACAGCAGTGGCATCAATGCATTATTTCTCTATTAGTCATCCCACGTTACAGTGGTTATTGAGCACTTGTCTTTCTACATTTCTGCATAAAAATGACCTTGAAGATTAAAAGATTTTCATGAAATTCAGGGAAAAAAATCAAAATTACACCTACAGTGGGGCAAAAAAGTATTTAGTCAGCCACCGATTGTGCAAGTTCCCCCACTTAAAATGATGACAGAGGTCAGTAATTTGCACCAGAGGTACACTTCAACTGTGAGAGACAGAATGTGAAAAAAAAATCCATGAATCCACATGGTAGGATTTGTAAAGAATTTATTCGTAAATCAGGGTGGAAAATAAGTATTTGGTCACCTCAAACAAGGAAAATCTCTGGCTCTCACAGACCTGTAACGTCTTCTGTAAGAAGCTTTTCTGTCCCCCACTCGTTACCTGTATGAATGGCACCTGTTTGAACTCATCATCTGTATAAAAGACACCTGTCCACAGCCTCAAACAGTCAGACTCCAAACTCCGCCATGGCCAAGACCAAAGAGCTTTCGAAGGACACCAGGAAAAGTATTGTAGACCTGCACCAGACTGGGAAGAGTGAATCTACAATAGGCAAGCAGCTTGGTGTGAAAAAATCAACTGTGGGAGCAATCATCAGAAAATGGAAGACATACAAGACCACTGATAATCTCCCTCGATCTGGGGCTCCACGCAAGATCTCATCCCGTGGGGTCAAAATGATCATGAGAACGGTGAGCAAAGATCCCAGAACCACACGGGGGGACCTGGTGAATGACCTGCAGAGAGCTGGGACCAAAGTAACAAAGGTCACCATCAGTAACACACTACAACGGCAGGGAATCAAATCCCGCAGTGCCAGACGTGTTCCGCTGCTGAAGCCAGTGCATGTCCAGGCCCGTCTGAAGTTTGCCAGAGAGCACATGGATGATACAGCAGAGGATTGGGAGAATGTCATGTGGTCAGATGAAACCAAAGTAGAACTTTTTGGTATAAACTCAACTCGTCGTGTTTGGAGGAAGAAGAATACTGAGTTGCATCCCAAGAACACCATACCTACTGTGAAGCATGGGGGTGGAAACATCATGCTATGGGGCTGTTTTTCTGCCAAGGGGACAGGACGACTGATCCGTGTTAAGGACAGAATGAATGGGGCCATGTATCGTGAGATTTTGAGCCAAAACCTCCTTCCATCAGTGAGAACTTTGAAGATGAAACGAGGCTGGGTCTTCCAACATGACAATGATCCAAAACACACCGCCCGGGCAACAAAGGAGTGGCTCCGTAAGAAGCATTTGAAAGTCCTGGAGTGGCCTAGCCAGTCTCCAGACCTCAACCCCATAGAAAATCTGTGGCGGGAGTTGAAAGTCCGTGTTGCTCGGCGACAGCCCCAAAACATCACTGCTCTCGAGAAGATCTGCATGGAGGAATGGGCCAAAATACCAGCTACTGTGTGTGCAAACCTGGTAAAGACCTATAGTAAACGTTTGACCTCTGTTATTGCCAACAAAGGTTATGTTACAAAGTATTGAGTTGTATTTTTGTTATTGACCAAATACTTATTTTCCACCCTGATTTACGAATAAATTCTTTACAAATCCTACCATGTGGATTCATGGATTTTTTTTTTTCACATTCTGTCTCTCACAGTTGAAGTGTACCTCTGGTGCAAATTACTGACCTCTGTCATCATTTTAAGTGGGGGAACTTGCACAATCGGTGGCTGACTAAATACTTTTTTGCCCCACTGTACATGGGATGGGGCAAAAGTTTAAGAATTTCTTGATTTAGTGGATAATTTAAAGGTAAAATTAGGAGACACATGTTATCAATCCATTGAATGAAAATCGGGCGTGGATGGTGGGTTTTTGATGTTTTTAAGTGAACAACAACAACAACATGACTGGAACAACAGGGATCTATCAAAGGCTGATCTTTACAAAACACATTTGAGGGAGTGGATCGTAGTTGGTGTTGATGCTCATGCAGCTGTAAGAGGTTACAAAACCATCCCAGAACAATTCAGACTCCACAAGTCCAATCAGTCAGACAGATGGTGTTCAACTATGAAGGAGAGGTTGACAATCAAAGATCATTCCCACAGCAAACCATGTTACAGTCATCAAGGTCACAAAGGAACAGTCGCAGGCCTCTCTCTCTCTTTCTTGGCTAATGTTTGTGTTGATGACTCCACCATCAGGAGAACGGCGAACGGCAATCGTGTGCATGGAACGGCTTCAAGGACAGAGCGCTGCTCTCCAGAAGAACGTACACAGTTTGCTCAAGATCACATGGACGAATCTCAATACTGCTTTAACAATATTTTGTGAGCAGGTGAGACTGAAATAAATTTTTTTGGTGCATCTGATCTAGGATGATTCAACTTAATTTTGAACTTTAAAGAAACGTCCACACACAAAATTCACTTCTTTTACCTGCCAAAGTAACCCTTTAAATTAGGGTTGCCAAAGATAAGGCTGGGGACCAGAATCGGCCTAGCAAAGCCGCTGGGCCACCAAACAACTTTGGAAAATGTCAAGGATGCCATAAAGTTTCAACTTTAAATTGTATTTTCATTTATTTTTCACCTTTTCCTACTATGCTTTTCTGGTGACTTGTGGTACTTTGGTTATGTTGGCAAATTTGTGACAAATTTTGACATTTACAGCAATTATCTAACAATTGTAATTCATTCTCACGATGCCTGCAGTCCTGAAACAGGGTTACTCCACACTTTGTTTCTCAGCTGGTTGTTGTTTTTCCTCAAACTCTTTTCCAAACTCGAAGAGCGCGCCTTGCTTGAACATGTGACTGATGAAGAGATGCGATTAACCTCAAATAACTTTAACCTTGTTATTCACACTTCACTCCCCTCATATTTTCCCTCTGTATTCTTGGCACTGGGCGCAGTCCTTCACACCACATTCTTCTTCTAATAAGGACATTCGTCAAACACAGCTTCAAAGGACAGATGAGAGCAATCTAGGGAAAAACAACATTTAGATCTGGACATCCGTGAAAACCGTCTCCCTATGAAGGAAAAAATAATAATAATAATGTGAAATCCATGGCATAAAAAAGGAAAACTCAAAGTCTTTAAGAGTTTAATGTTTTATATTTGTTTCAATCATCATTCCAGCATTCAGGGAATGATAAACACAAAACGTATTCACATTTATCATCATTAATCAATTTGAAAATACTACAAATACAAAAGCTGCACAGATGTTTGAAACTGATACAGACTGTGTTCAGGAATCGGAGAACTTGCCATTCCTCCTGCTCCCTAGTATGTATATTTAAATAATACGAAAAAAAAGTAGAAATGTCCAGGTAACTCATTTTCATGGTGTGGATGCAGAACTGGTGTCTCCGACTCCCTCGCTGTCCCTCGTGCCAAACGCCGTTCATTCCATGGGTTGCTCTTGTCTTTCTTTGAACTCATTAACTCTTGCCTGGAACAAATTTAAAGAACGTCCACGTCAGAGGTGGATTTCAGGCAGCATGTGGGAGTGTCACATTTAATTAAAGTCAGCTGACTGTCCTTTCACTTAAAATTACTGTTTGCTAGAACGCCCAGGGTTTCTTTCTCTGTCCTGTTACGTGCATGGAAATTCAGGTTGGCTTCTTGTTGCTTTCCCCAGTTTAGAAATGAGAGCACCAGGTCAGCTTCTGCGCAGGACTCCTGTGATGGGAAGAGACCCTGCGGTAGGAAGAAATTGTTGGCAGCTGCTAACGCTTGGTTTGAATATTCTCCTCTCTATATTTTGCACTGTGATAAAGGAACTCTCAGAGATCATTCATAAAAGTCTTTGAGGTTCCACCTCTTACGTGCAATCTGTGCTCTCTTTGTAAATACCACAGTGCATTTTTTAACGCCAAAAGCAATTTGCGTGGGCGTTAGTAAATCTTTTAAGTTGTGTGGAGGAACAAAGAACACATGAAAACAAATGGAAAGAAAAAAAACAACCACGTTTTCAGAACTTCAACTTGTCCAGTCTCATGGAAACCAGACAAGTTGGTGTTCAGCATGCATGAAGTTGACAGTGTTGCTGCATTTGTTTCAACAGGTAGCCAAAAAGGTCAAGCTGAAACTTCCACAGCTCAACAACCAATAACCAGCTTCCATCCATCAATTTTCACAACCTTTTGTCCAATGCAGGGTTGCAGAGGGAGTGGAGCCTATCCCAGCTATACCCTGAAACGTAGGGTAGACTCTGTCAGGTTAGCAGGCTATTGTAGAGCCAATACGAAGACATAAAGAACAATTTACAGTGACATTCACACAAATTTAGAATCCCTAAGTGGCCTAATATGCATGTTTTTGGACTCTGGAGGAACCCATGCAAACTCCACGAAGAAAAGCCGGTTCACTATCAGCGGGGTCAGACCCAGGACCTCGCTGCTGTGAGGGGACAGCGCTATTCACTGCACCGCTGCCCTATCAGTCCAGTACTGTCCACTCTAATTACCTTTAATGGTTTAACCTCCCAAGAACCGAACTCTTCCACGGCATGCATTTTTGATTTCTCTTTGATATTTGGGCTGATTGGGGCCAGATGAATGTAAAAACAAAGAATTGCCAGATTTTTTTTTTTACCTGATTTTTGTTTCTAAAAAAATGAGATCCACATATGAGGATATTCGTTTAAAATTTCGATAGGACAGTAGCAGTATAATGTCCTTGTAAGTGGATATCAGGCCCTTGTTGAGCAAAATTGAGTATTTTGGTCTAAATAACCCAAAATGTGATGCCCACATATGTGGACGCCAGGTCCTAGGAGGTTAATTTAGGTCTCTGTGTTCTGACCAATCACTGGCAGGCACATTCAGCGACAGCTTCAGCGTATAGTAGCAGGAGCAGCTCCACCCAGACCGAGCTGGACATGAAGCCTCCTCTCTCATCAAAATAGAAAAAAAGAAATGATTCCATAACTGTGGAATTTACTGCTCATGACACGAGGCCTCAAGCACTTATTCCTCAGTCATTTATGTGCTCGAATCACAAGTCGATAGAAGTTCTATTTTCAGAAATCATATGAGTATAGGCAGGTGCATGCTTGTTTATAATGAAATTAGACTAATAAAGCTAGCGAGGAGATTGCTCTCAAGGCACTGTGGCTGATTTAGTTAATCAGGAGATAACATGCAGACATGACCGTAGGCTGGGATTTCTGCAAGATTCCAGCTCTGTCATCAATTAAGGGAAATTTAGGATGCGTAAATGATGATTGACTGGATCATGTCGAATGACATCTCCATTCGTGTTTTACGAGATAATCGCTGTGGTCCAAAGGGACCGTGCATTTATACTTGAGCCGTCACAATAGGGAAAACAAGTTATCTGCCCTCCACTGATGATGGCTTTTCCCCCCCATTCCCCACGCACACGCTTAAATTAGAGCTGATTAAACCAATTCTGACCAGCTGTGCTGAAACCACAAACTCAGACTTTCCTGTCTCAGAGTAAAGAGTTCAAGGTGATTCTCAGAGTTTATCAAACCTGTTTTCTGGAACGCACCCCGGGTCATTTTTCTATGTAAGACACATGTTGTGTACAGAACAGTCACACATGCTTACCTGAAATGTGTTGAGAACATGTTGACAAACATCGCTGAGCTCGTTCAGGCCTCTCCGCAGCGGCTCTGCGGCTGGAATTCCCCCTGAAGCAGATAGCAGATACTTCTGACGAAAACCACCACCGACAGCACAAACAGAGCAAAAACAACCGCAGAAGATGTAGGCACTCTGTTAGCCACTCGTCTCTGGGTTTCATTTAGCGCTGTGAGTCATCGTGCGCCCATGATGAGCACAAAAGCGGACGCTCTACACAAATTTATTATTGACAAGGGTCACCAGCGCTGTTAAGAGATGAGAAGCACGCATCAACCACATTTGCAACGTGGGATCGTTTTGTCTTGCCCAATTTGATATTTCAAGTGTCGAAACAAACGCCACACCTGCAAGCGATGCATTGTGAGCGCTACAGAGAAACTCTGCCAATGAACTGACTGCACCCTCACCGACGATGGCTTGTAGGCACGCTACGCGCTCTGGTCGGCATCTCGATGGGGAAAGATTAATTCTGCTGCAGAAATAACGAGCCCAAACACGCCTCGAAGCTTTGCGAGAACTACTCGAGGGCCAAAGAAAACCAAGGAATCCTGGACATTTCCCCCACAGTCACATGACCTGATCCTTGTAGGATATTCACCATATGGGGGACTGACTGTGCTGTTCCTTATTTCCTGTTATATATACTTTTACAGTGGTGGATACTCCTGTTGTAAATAATGAGGTCCATGTATGTACCAGCAATCGCTGTAAGCCAAAAGTTGTTTTGTGCTCCTGAGTCTTTGACAGGTTTTCTCAGGTGCACAGCTCTTGCTATGAGCTTAAAAAACTCTCCTCGTTTAATTCTTTTGTTTGCAATGGCCGGCCAATCAGAAGAAAGCTAAAGGTAGGTGTGCCTTAAAGGAGGAAGAGCTAAAAAATAATAATAAAACCTTGTTTCAGAGTTGCACACAGTTGAGAAAATAATTATTTGATGACCTGCTGGGATTATTACGTTTGTTCACTTCCAAAGAAATAAACAGTCTCTAATTTTATCGTAGTTTTATCTTAATAAAGATACTGAAGACACACATTACAGCCAAGTTATAAATGGATTTGTGTAATAAGTCTTTGATCTAGGCTGTTCTGAGTGTTTCGCCCACATCTATGATTAAAAAAAGACCTTAAATAGAAACGTAGGAGATAGGAGCACCTGTGTGAAGAAAATAGCAGTTTTTCAACAAACAGATTGATAACACAACAGCGATCCTATTTTATATGGCAGCAATACCTGCAACAAGCAGGACTGAGTCTAAAGTCTACACCATATTTATTTCAGGGCTTTAGTAACATTATTTTGTAGAATTAGATTAATCTAAAAGTATATTATACTTGCCTTCAGCAACCTGCCCGATTTAAACATCATATCAGACCAAGTTAGCAGTTCATCTGCATATTTTAATGTAAGTTCTGTGGCTTTAATGTAGATGTTTGATGTTTAAAACATGGATGGGAGCAGCTACAAAGTTCCCTTTTCTTCACGGAAACAAACGTTTCTGTTTCATACGTTAAAAAGAGCCAACTTTCACTTCGCCTGAGCTCAGCATTTAGGTAACAGCTCTGCCTCTTCGTTCTTCACCGTGCTCTTCTGTGGCGCCACAATAAACAGGGACAACTTTGTGCAACAGTTTTTATTGATATGTGCGCTCTTATCACTGCTCATCTGTTTTTAGTCGGTGAAACGCTCGTGTTTACACTGTGACATGTGATCGTTACAGAATTGCACATTAAACGAAGCATTGAAGTAAACAAAACAGGGTTGTTGTTTTTTTTAGAATCTAGTTACTCGATGAATCGTTGAAGCCCTAAAACGCTGTCACAGAGACTGCTGACATGCTCGCGTGTCCTCATTCCAGTCACACGTACTCACTTGTTCACCAGCACTTAAACATGCAGACACACACACAAGCTAAATCTAGCTCATCCAGGTGATACAATACTGTCAGAACTCTTCCTGCTAATCTACGAGAGCCAGTGTGTAATTTTTGACAGATATAGTACGCACTTAAACTACTAAAAGCAATGAGCAGTTCGTGGCTCAAGAGTTGGGAGGTCGCCTTGTAATCGAAAGGTTGCCGGTTTGAGCCCCAGCTAGGACAGTCTCGGTCGTTGTGTCCTTGGGCAAGACACTTCACCCGTTGCCTACTGGTGGTGGTCAGAGGGCCCGGTGGCGCCAGTGTCCGGCAGCCTCGCCTCTGTCAGTGCGCCCCAGGGTGGCTGTGGCTACAATGTAGCTGCCATCACCAGTGTGTGAATGGGTGGATGACTGGATATGTAAAGCGCTTTGGGGTCCTTAGGGACTAGTAAAAGTGCTATACAAATACAGACCATTTACCATTAAAACACCTGTGTTTTAAAGAGAGACAAATCACATGCTTCCTTTTGATGACACTGTCATAAAATAAAATGTTTATCATATTATTATCTATGAGCTGGAAAGCGAGGAAAGTCCCTTCCAGTTAGAGTCTTACTACAGATAACAGCCGTCAAGCTTCACTCATACCCTTTGTACGTCAAATAAGCCACATGTGTAGGATGTGACTTCAAAGATACAAAAGAAAACATTTAAAAATGTTTATTTATTTTGATCTGATTCCTTTGATTAATAAATGGATTAATCAAAGGAATACTCGGCTACTAAAATAATCGTTAGCTGCAGTCCTAATTTGACTCGGTACAACCCAGCCATAATTCTGGCTGCAATCAATTACAGACGTCTTGATCTTAATACGTGTATAAAACACATATATTTTCAATTTTTTCCATTGCAACCTCCTCAAGAACAAGCTTGGTGAGAAGGTGCAGTTATTCACAAATGGAGAATATAAAATGACCATCAATCGCCCTCAGTTTGAATCTCCGTGCAAGATCTTACCTCATGGGTGAGGGAAAAAAAGACGGTGGATAAGCCCCAAACTAAAGCTTCTCAATGACCTTATGGCAGCTGGGATCACAAACCCCAAGTACACCACTGGTAACACACTATGTAGTCACAGATTGAAATCTTGCAACACCCACAAGCTCTCCCTGCTCAAGAAGGCCTGTCTTAAGTTTGCCAGTGAACATTTAAATGATTCAGAGAAGGTTTGGGAGAAACGCCTGCGTTCAGATGAAACAAACATCTAACTCTCTGGCTTCACCAACTCTACCTGATGTGTTTTAAAAGAAGAGAAATGCTGAGTTTGACCCAAAGAACACCATCCGCACAGTCAAGCATGGAGGTGGAAAAACTATGATTTGGGGCTGTTTTTCTGGTAAAGGTACAGGACGACTTCACTGCAATGAGTGGCCAGAGGGCGAAGCTATGTACCATAAAATTCTGGCCTGTTCCTTCCCTCAGCCAGAATTCTGGCCTACTCCTTCCCTCAGCCAGAATTCTGGCCTGTTCCTTCCTTCCCTCAGCCAGAACACCAGCAAATCAACCCACAACTTTCATCTTTTCTGGATGTTTGGTTGATATTCTGTCTCTTTCCATTTAAATAAAGCTGCCATAAAATTAGAGACAGTTTATTTGTTTGTTAAAAAGTTTGTATATTCAGCTGGAGACCTAATAATTACCCCCCCCCCCCCGTATACGTGTGCCAAAATCTGGAATAGAAATAGTAAAAGTGGGAACTAATACATGGACAGCTTTACATAAAATCACATTAAAACATGAATAGAACACCTGATTGAAAAAGTCAAAGGAAAAACTGAACTGAGGCCTGGTTAAAAGAATATTTCCCTTTTTCTTATGCTAAACTAAATATACAACGACACAAAACCGGGATATAGGAAATGAATGTTCGTCATGAGCGACTGTGCAAGTGCACAAAAAACGGAAACAATTCAGGGTTGTGTCATTGATCATTAACTGAATATGCATTTGTTGGCTGCTGTTGAAACCAAGCTGTCAATTTTTTATGTCGCTGCGCTTGACTATCTTGTTTTGATAATCTAAGCGATTAACCAAAAAAAGATGTGGCATTAAAAAACAAACGAAAAGAATGCTGCGGCCCTCCTGGCCCCCTCAACTGACACAGATGACCTCAATCCAGCGTTGTGATTGCGGTCTTGGTGGAGAAATTTAACAACCAAAATAAATACAGATCATTTCAAAGGGCGATCTGATGCCCGAAAGCGCAGTGAAAAAGAGGGGGAGTATTTTTTTATTTCTCCTTGTGCCTTGAAGGTAATCGGGTCTAGCTGTATTGAAGCCGTGAAGAAAAAAAAAGAAACCTCCAGGCAACCAGAAACTTGGTTCAACAACAAAAACAAGCTGTTTTCTCAGTCTCGCCGAGTCCTTTCATGTGACAGGGCTGCTCTTATCCTTTGTGAAAGCGGATGACAGATTTTTTTTTTTGGCAACGGTGCAAGTGATTATTGCTCTCAAAATTAGGGTGCGTGTGTTATTATTTGCAGTATATCGTGATCAGCCTTTTTACCTTGCAACGCTGCCTGAAAACCTTTATTACCAATAAACACAGCCATACGGAGCCGTGTGTATTAACAGAGACGTCTCTCACCTCGTGTCTGAATGCGAAAGTTGATCTTGCTCTCTGACGGGTGGGTGATGGTGTAGCCGCAAAACTCCACATCCGCACTGGCAAAAGAGAAAAGTGGGAAAATGAAGCTGAGGTTTGCGAGCATTCTCAGAGTTGTGCTTAAAAAAAAAAAGACTGGTAATGACTATATTTTTTTAGATTAGCAGACCCTCTCCTGGCAGGATGACAAGAGAGCCCCAAAAACAGGGAAGAGGAGAAATCACATGCTTCCTTTTGATAACACTGTCATAAAATAAAATGATTATCTTATTATTGTCTATAAGCTGGAAAGCGAGGAAAGTCCCTTCTAGCTGGAGTCTTACTACAGATAACAGCCGTCAAGCTTCAGTTTGAATGTCAAATAAGCCACATGTGTGGGAAGCGATTTGAAATATAAAAAGAAAAAAAGAAAACACAACGGTGACCATGCTGAGTTCAAAGGGGGAAAAAACCAACACAAAAACGCTCACTTCTTCATGATCATGTATCTGAGGGAGTTCCCTAACGTATGGTCCTCGTCGTGCAGCACAAAAGTCACACAGCCCTCATCTGCCCCGTCGGCCTGGACCTAGAACGCAAAAAAAGTCCATTCTTAAAACATCGCACAGCCAACATGGAAGAGAAACATTACACCAGCTTCCTCCTCTGAGATTAGTGAGTGGGCGAGCCGCTCACGCTCATTATGCACTTCCAAAATATTCAAAACATACAGAGTTACAGATGCAAATAGAAGCAGACACTGATTGCATGCACAGTTGGGTCCAAGAGTATTTGAGAAAGGACATGATTTTATTTGATTTTTTTTGCCTCTGTACGCCAGCACAGTGGATGTGAAATCTAAGAGAAAAAGAAAAATCAAGATGTGACTTGGAGCTTTAATTCAAGTGTTTTAACAACAAAGGTGGACCTACTGTGCACATTTCCAGCTCCATATTTTGCTCATTGGACTCTTTGTTTGGGTCACAGTAAATGTTCTTATTTTTAAACTCAGGCCTCATAAACTTTATCAAACATCTAAAACACACAATGTTACCCCATTCCTCCTTCTTTTAGGCCAGCCTTCATCTGATTGGCCACCATTCACAAAGTGAAGATCTGCACTGGAGCAGCTAGAGCGTATTTAAAGTGCCTGACTTGACCATGTTAGGGATATCCATTCTCAACAGGAGAAACAATAGTTTGCTGTTTAGAGTAAGCCGGAACTTTTTAGCTCTTAAGAGTCTTTTTTTTAAATAACTTCATTATTTTCAAGTTTTTGCTTTCTTTATGGAAAACCATCAAAGAATTGCAGCCATTTTTACACGACAACCCACATTTTTACAACTGCGAAGGCATGCAGGCCTTCACTGCGGCCGTCTTTAGCTGCCGTTTGTTTGTGACTCTCTCTGCTTTCAGTTTTGTCTTCATCAGTAACTGAAAACCATGCTCTGCTGGGCTGAGCTCTGATTTGACCATTCAGGAATATTTCATGTCTTTGCTTTAGGAAACTCTTGGATTCCTTTCCGTCTGCGGATAAGACGGTGCACTGAAAGCATCGTCTTATCAGTTCTAAAGCACTTTGGCTGAATCTGAGCAGAGAGTACTCCCTGTACGCTTCACAGTACATCCTGCTCCTTCTATCAGCACTCACATCATCAATAAAAACCAATGATCCAGTTATACCGGCATCCACACATGCCCATGCAATAACAATGTCTTCACCAAAGATGATGAGGTACTTCCCCTCTTATCATATTATCCCCTTCCAAGGTAGTTAAAGCAATACTTTTAACCCCCACTTGAATTAAACCTGAAGCTTCATATTTCATTTTTAATTGGCATCTTTATTTCACATCATCTGAGGTAGGAAAATTAAGAAAAATACATCACTTTCCAAATACTTATGGCGTTTATCTTCATAGGACATGAACACTGTTTAACTACTGCCCCCTAGTGGAGATACTGTTAGGTACCCGTGGACTGAGACAAATCCGCATCTAAATTAAACAAGTAGGTACCCTCATGTTCCAAATTACTGTTTGTCTCCGGTGCTGGTAATGCTTCAAAAAGACAGATTTTAGCGTATACTTAAGTTAGATTAACGCCGTTTAAGTTTATTCACTGCTAGTCACTAGCTACCCACGTGAGGAGCACACAGGCGGTCAAATCGCTGTCATTTGCTTCTTTAGTTAATCGATCCGACCTGGAGAAAATAAAGACGAACCCATCCAACCGCGCACACCATCAAACCACACACGATTTTCGCTTTTTACCATTTCTAGTACTGCTTTCTTTTCTCCTTCCCCGGCCATGCTTCACTTTCCCACTGCATCCGTCAACAGAGTAAGGTTTAGTTCTGTGCTCTTTAGCCCTGAATCTAGTTTGACAGGCAAAGGAAAGTTCAATACGACTGGAATTTACCTCAATGTTTTGGTAACATATGTATGATTGTAGCCATAAATGATCAAATTATCAGATAATTTTCATTTAAAGTGACGCAGCTCTGTGGTTGGTAGAATATTTGTCAAACGCGTCGTTTGGCTACTCTGCAGCGTGATTATGGCTTAAATTTTATATTATTGTTGTGCCTGGATGCTTAATAACATAACATGTTTACTTAAACAAATAGTGATTTTTAATACTTACCTAATAAATATTTATTTTAATAAAAGCTAACCTGTTCAGCAATTAACAGTGGTAAGTTTTGTCACATCTCTAGCTGCAGGGGAAAGCGTTATCCTAGCGTTCAAGTCGCCTGGAAGACTGTAACAGGGGCGAAATTCGCGCCCCTTCTATAACAAGTTGTTTATACGAAGACGTGACGACGGAACTACGTAATATGTAACTGGGGGTAAAAAAAAAATGTAGTTCCAAAAGGGAAACAACGACGTTAAGCACATAGAGCCTGAAATGCGGTAGGAACTACACTCCCCAGCACGCGTATGAATGTGTTTCCTGTGTGGACGATTTGCGAAGCAGGCAGAAGTCACTCGAAAAGGATTAGCCAACTAGCAACTGAAACGTCTTTAAATGTGGGAATTTTGCGCTAAATGAGCCACTTTAATCGTCGTTGAGACATCCAGGTACTGAATATGATGTTATGTGACTATTACGTACGTTAGCTCAGTAGCTAAAAACAACCGACATGGCGTCAAGTGGCTAACTACCTTTCTGACGCTAATATAGGTTTAATGGTCAACAACAGTGTTAGCTAGCTTGTTGTTTCGCAAATTTTGGTTCATCTAGGTTTAGCTGACATTTTACTCTAGCATGACAACCTGTTCATGATTGGGAATTGTCCTACGGCGTTCTAATCGCAGTATTTGCATTTCTTAGTTACACCTGTTCACATGTCATTTTATTTCCTTCTTCCTGTTATCTGTAACTATTTTTGGCTGTTTCACAAGAATTATTCTTCCCTAATCATTATCGTTTGGGTGTTTCCCCCCCCAGCTCAGCAGTAACAACTCGCCTTCCTTGTCCTTCTACCTCCAGGGTGGTAATAAAGGTGAAAACCCAGCTGTTGCCATGGCAATCCTGTTTGCTGTGGTGGCTCGAGGAACCACTATTCTTGCCAAGCATGCATGGTGTGGGGGTAACTTCCTGGAAGTTACTGAGCAGATTTTAGCTAAAATTCCCTCAGAGAACAACAAACTGACATACAGCCATGGCAGGTAAGGGCGTGTGCGGCCTGTGTCATCCCCAGTTGGCAGTTTACATCCTGTTAGAGACAGTGCCTACGGCGGTGTCATGTGATAAAATACCACAGAGTTCATTCCTTGTAAAAACTGTAGGAAAAACAGCCCTACTGTATAAAACACCTCTCATCTAATGATTAACCCTTCTGCTTTATTTTTAGCTATCTGTTTCATTACATCTGCCATGACAGAATCATATACCTGTGCATCACGGACGACGTAAGTATATATTTGACAGTCATATATTTTTGTCGGGGTTTGGATTTGCAGTAGACCATTTGTAGATGTTATGAATGTATTTTAAGAACCTGAATTAGTATAAAAATAAATATAAACGACCCAGCCACTGTAGGAAATGGACACATGTCTTGTGTTATTGTAGAAAACCTAGCATTACTGCTGTTGCTAAAGATGAGATAGGGTTTTGAGGCAGCCACAATTTATTGTATGCAACTTCTTATAAACCTATTTGACTCTCATCTTCTAAAGGACTTTGAGAGGTCACGTGCATTCACCTTCCTCAGTGAAGTGAAGAAGCGTTTCCAGACAACATATGGCTCACGAGCACAAACAGCCCTACCTTATGCCATGAACAGCGAGTTCTCCTCTACAATGGCAGCTCAAATGGTGTGTATGATGAAAGCCTGAATGTACCAAGCAACGTTTCCTGTTACTGCACTGTGATGTCCTAATATTTCTGTGGTTTAAAAGAAGAAGAAAAAAAAAAGAAACGGAAGAAGACGTGAAGAAGTGTGACGTGTTCCTTTTCTTTGCAGAAACACCACTCAGATCCACGTGGACCCGATCGTGTCACTGAGACTCAGATGCAAGTGGACGACCTGAAGGGCATCATGGTCCGCAACATAGGTGAGCATCTCTTTAATTTCCTCATTTTGTATTTATTCATAAATAAATAAACAAACAAGGCTCTGAGATGGAAAAACATTGACTAAAACTCTAATAAACCAAGTTAGATAAAACCTGTAATGTTTGACTGGTGTGTGGTGTGACTTTAAATGAGTGAAGTGTTATATCATGAGCGACTACCTCACTTACGATGCATGATGTGCTGTGTTTAGTGAATTACTCATATGTATTGTATTATGTGTATTCACACTAAATTCACTGTTTGCATTTATATTTTTACAGACTTGGTAGCTCAGAGAGGAGAAAAGCTGGAGCTGCTGATTGACAAGACAGAAAACCTGGTTGATGCAGTGAGTTTAACTACAACTGATTAGGCTCTGTTGCTTCTACTTATTTTCTGATGCATAACATTTGTCATTAAGTATATACTGCAACTGCAGTCTATTAAACAACAGATATTGTTACTGATTACATTTTTTTTCCTCCTCCTCCTTCAGTCAGTCACATTTAAGACCACAAGCCGTAACCTTACACGAGCCATGTGCATGAAGAACCTCAAGCTGACTCTAGTCATTGTGCTGGTTGCCCTTGTGAGTACAGACACAGAGATGATGAAAACAAGTAGTGCATTGAGCTTGGCTTCTCTGTGCCTTATTTAGTGCAGCAGTTGTGAAGGAAGTGAACTCTGTCTGTGCTCTTTTTCAGGTGGTGATTTACATTATTGTCTCTGCTGCCTGTGGAGGTCTCAACTGGCCCACGTGTGTCAAACAATGAGAAGAGAGCGGGGACAGAAGAGAGGGAGATGAAGGAAAAGGGACAAAGGGGAGAAGTGCCTGTTTAACTCTGCTTGCCAGTGGACACAGTAGAAAATACCACGTTCCTTGCTTTTTACTCCTTTGGCTTCAGAAGAGCTGGAAAACTATTTGCTCCTCCTCCTCCCACCTCCTTTCTCACCCTGACTTTGACAGTGCACATTTATATGCCTTCTGGACCTGGAGTCCCACCTCATACCCACACTAATGGACAGCAGCCACGTGGCCTAAAACTGATGTGGAACAATGGTCTTGTCTTATGTTAGTCTGGTGCATTCATCTTGTCTCATGCACTCGGTTGGCTGATGTATCAGTTACTATACTGTCCTGCACCTGCCTGTGTAATTAATCCATATAGATTTAACTACAAAGGTAGCAAAGTTTGATTTGTGAGTGTCCTGTTTAATCTTGGATGCCAACAGAGTATGTGGGTAACATGTTTTAAATGTATCACGAGGGTGTAGTGTATGGGCCTCTGTTGAAGAACTTTAAACACATTGTTGACTAAACTGATGCAGTATACAGACTTTCTGATAAGTTTTATCACTTAGCACAGTTGTATCTTCTAAGGTTAATGTTGTGAAATACCCTGTATGATCATAAAAATAAATATTGTACATTTGATTGATGAAGAATGGTTGTTTTAAAGCAAGTGTGATTTCTGCCTGTGGAGTTGAGGCTTCCCTTCACCTTTTACCTCCCTCTTTGAGGTTCAGTGTGCCCAAGTTTTCTTTCTGTTAACAAAATGCACTTTTTTTTATATTATGTTGTACATAGATTTGCTTCCTGACATCATATGGCTGATGATCATTATGTAATAATTGTACATCCTCATTTAAAATAAATACATTCTGATGGAACTGAGTGATTTGCCTCTAAACCAGGAAAGGACAAAAGGGTTTTGTGACATGTATTCATTTTAAAAAGGCTAACTGAATGTATCGGTGTGTATTGATCCTAGGTAAATAGCACATGCACGGAATACGTTTATTTTTATTTTACAACTAATTATGTGAGAAATATGACCAACTCACCGTCGGTGTCTCCCAGAGGTCAAAGTTCATGTAAACAACTCTTCTTCAATCACTCCTCCCTGTTGATAGTTGAACTCTGGCACGGTGAAACACGTGACACCGTGAAGTTTTCCACGACGAAAATACAGTGAAAAGGCGAGAAACGAGCACGTGGAACCGACTGCCCACCGAATCCTCGAGCGCTCGCTCCCGTCGCTGCTGCTCGCCCCTGTGACAGGTAGCTAGCAAGTTTTGACATTTCTGTGAAAGTACTTTTTATGAACTCACTTGCCTACAGTATGATTTAAAAGGTGGAGAGAATGTAAAAAAAAGTTTTTGTTTTTCTTCTTTGTAAATATGTAATTAGAAAATTAAAGGTATCGAAAATTACACCTGTTTTCAACAGAAAATAATGTTAACGCTAAACGCCTCGGCTTGTTTGTCAACCGTTCTTTGTTTGGTCATTTTGGCCAGCCGTTGAAGTTAATCCTTGTATATACTGAACCATTTTGTAACTACAGTCAGAGGAGAACTGCTAACAGACCGTAGACCCCACAGCGACGTCAATGAGCTTTTTCTTTGCTATTTGTAGCAACATCCTATGTTTACTCCTGAAAAAATTGTAGACCTGAGTGACTGCTGGAGGAGGCCTCACACACGAATGGATATCCGTCGGGTTCAGGGGTCGAAGATGTTTTGATCAGAAGTTGCTGTACTAATGACCATCCGTGTGAAAGGGCCAGGGAATTATAGTGCTTCTCTAAACGCCACCTAGCAGGATTCATCCTATTTTTGATAACCCCTGAATAAGTTAATTTATGACAAACTTTCAGTTGGCACAATGTAGGACTTAGTGTTGTTAAAATTTCAGCCACATGTAGCTTTCTGTGAGTATGGACATGTCTCTGTGTAGTTGGTGTTTGCTCATTGCTTTGAAGAGAGCAGACTGCACAGGCTCATTGGTTTAACTTTGTTCCCCTGGGCTGTCTGACCA